GAGAAAAAAAAAAGAAAAAAAATGAATGCTACACATGATTTGGGGTAAAGTAATAAGAATCTTTTTGTGAGGAATGAGATGAATAAAAAAGAAAAAAGCAGTGAAATGATGTGGGGTAAAATGCCAAGTTACATCAAATGATCATTTGGTTTTGAACCCTTTAAACACATATTTTGAGCCTATTTTATCCATTTTTTATGACCTCTCACCATGGCTTTATTACAACCTTCAAAAGTCCATTTTAGATCAAATGTGAATGCTCGAATTAAATAATCATATGTTAGGCTAAGGCATGCTTGTGATAGAATGACATAATCATACTTTGTTACTTTAGAGATTGATGTGAAAGAGATATCAATAATAGGTGAAAGAATGAAAGAAAGAAAAAATTAAAAAATTAAAAAAATACAAAAATACAAAAATAAAAAAATAAAAAATAAAAAAGATGAAAAAGAGAGAAAAAGAAGACTCAAATTGAAAATCTGAAAAGGCGATTTGGGTAAAAAAAATCTTTGAGTTAAGATTTCGACATATGGAGGAAGGGCAAAGACATCTGAAAATTTCTCAAAGCTAGGGCAAAGTTCACTAAGCTCAAAATGACTTCGAAAGTCAATAGAATAAGTTTTTGAAAAAAAATCTTGGATTAATGTTTATAATTGTTTGAATATTCATTGTTTAGATATTGTTACTCCATTTGTTCAATACCATTCCTAAGGGCATGAATTTGTTCCTTTGCCTATTTGTTTTTATACCAGAATTACTCCTCATTGATTACCTTTCTCTTAATTCACCTTGTGCTCTTTTATTTTTACATCCCCAGAATAAATTAAGAAAATGTATGGTTGCATTATATTTGTCATGATTTAAAATGATAATGAATGAATGACAATGTGCATAAAAGTATCTTACATTCTTTTGAAAAGAAATCTAAGATGATAAGGAAGAAATAAAGAGAGTGCAAAAACTTGAAAAGATAATTTGAAAAGATGACATGACCAAGTGATGAATATAGGGATAAATTGGTCGACATAACCTGTGAGTTATGATCGAATGATGAAAATAATATGGATCAGTGGGTGAAATTTGTTTTGAAATGGTTAGTGCTGAGAAACCTATGATTGGTGACCAAGTGATGGAGGATGAAACTTATTCTAAAATGGTTAGTGCTGAAAAACCTATGATTGGTAATTAAGGGATGAACATAATATGGATCAGAGGATAGAATTCATTTTGGAATGGTTAATGCTGAGAAGCCTATAAATAGTGATCAAGTGATAAACATAATATGGATCAATTGAAAGAATTTATTCTAAGACTGCTAATGCTGAGAAGCCTGTGATTAAATGATTTGGGGTAATGGATGAAATTTGTTTTGAAATTGCTACTGTTGAAAGGCCTGTGAATTGCGGTCAAGTATCAATTGAAAAAAACTTATGCTGAGAAAGTTGAAAAAAAATGGAAATGGTGGAGTCTTAAAAACCATATTACCACAATTAATTAGAATTTCATGACATGGGCATTTGCATTATATTGTATTGTTGAGAATATGTCATTGTGAGAATCTAGATTGTTGCATTTGCATCATTAAGAAAGCATTTGCATAATTGATAATGACATTTATTACATACAACATTTTGACTTTGGTAAAAGTTTGAAAGTCATCTAGAAAAGAAATTTTGAATCTTTGGATAAAGTCTTCAAATGAGAATCTTTGAGTTTTCAAATGAGAATCTTTGAATTTTTGAGTTCTCAAGTGAAAGTCTTTGAATTTTCAATGAGAATCTTTTAAAAATCCTCAAATGAGAATCTTTGAATTTCAAATGAGAATATTTAAGGTGTGAAACCTAAAATTTGCCGAATGTGAATCTTCGAACTCAAACGAGAATCTTTGAATTTCAAACAAGAATTTTTAAATTTCAAATAAGAATCTTTGAGGTGCGAAATCCAAAATTTTTTGAATGTGAATATTTGAACTCAAATGAGAATCTTTGAATTTCAAATTAGAAATTTTGAGGTGTGAAACACTAAAATTTGTCAAATGTGAACCTTTGAACTCAAATGAGAAGCTTTGAACTTTTGGATCCGAATCTCCAAAATTCAAGTGACAGTCTTGCAAATACGAATCTTAAGGTTTGGTAAAACTGAAATTTTGAGAATCAAATTTCAGTGAATTCTTGCAAAGCTGAAAAGTTCTTGCAAATCTAAACCTTTGAATTTTGAACTCAAATTGTAAATCTTTGAGTTCCCATTACAAATTTCATCAGATTTGATCTAGATTTCGTTGGGCATGATTGTCAAAGAGCCTTTTATTTTTCCAAAGTTGTGGTGCATCTATTTAGAGGAACAATTTATTTTTTTCAAAGTTGTGGTGCCTTTGTTTAAAGGAGCAATTTATGTTTTAAAAGTTGTGATGCCTCTATTTAGAGGAGCATTTATTTTTTTCAAAGTCATTGAGCCTTTGTTTAGAAGAGCTTTGTTTACTTTAAAAATATATATAAAAAAAACCAAAGAAGTGTCGAGTTGAGTCTTGATTGGGTGTCTACGTCTTTGCACAATTTTTGTTTCACAGAAAATGTGCAAATAAGGGCAACTATAGACACCCTACTTGGTCCGAGCCAAGCCTATTAGGCCCAGCTCAATAGGGCCTAGGGTATCAAGCCCAATTGGCCATTCTTCTATTTATTTTATTATTTTTTTGTTTTATTTTTGCATGATTTAATTTAATAAAAATTAAATTTTGATAATAAATATTAATTATCCAATTATGGAATTTATAAAAATTTCAAATGGTAAATTTCTATGTAAGAGATTTTGTCTAAATTTAGCCCAAATGGTGGAATAATTTAGATGAAATTTTAATAATAATAATTAATATTTATTTTCCAACAAAAATAATAAATATAAAAAACAAAAATAATAAAAATATAAAAAACATAAAAATATACAATTTTTGGAATTAAATACAAATTATACAATGATGATATTCTTAAAAATTTCAAATGGTAAATTTTTTAAGAAATCTTTAGGTGAGAAATTTTCTTTAAATTTAGCTCAAATTGTGGAATAATTTAGATGAAATTTCAATACAAGTAATTGTATCCTTTTCCAAATAAATTTTTGGTTGAAAATATGTGATAATTATCCGATGATAAGATTCTTAAAAATTTCAAATGGTAAATTTTTAAGAAATCTCTATGTGAAATTTTTTTTTAAAATTTGACCAAAATGGTGGAATAATTTAGATGAAATTTGAATAAAAATAATTGTCATATTATCTTTCCAAAGAAAAAAAAAAGAATTTCTCAATAAGGCCAAATTGTGAAAAATTTAGAAATTTAAAAAAATATATATTTTTAATTGGCCTAATGGTGGAATAATTAGATATATTTTTGACAAAAATAATAAATAAACATTTTTTTGATGATGAAACCTCTTCAAGATATCAAATGGGATTCTTGAATACTCTTGAGGTGAGGAAGTATTTTTTAAAAAATTCTACTAGATTGATGAAAGAATCGTATAAATTATTTCTAATATTTAACATAAAAGTTTAAAACCATTAGACTCAAGACCTAAGGATAAATTTAAAATAATATGAAACCATCCTTTGGATGGGCATGTGGGGGTGCTATAACATTTTCCACATGTAACCGAATTCCCGAACCCTCAAACCCTGTTCTGGTTAGTATATCCGAACCTATACCTTTAAGGGACCTTTATTCAAACTTAAGAGCTCTTTAAGAGGATAGATTCCTTAGGTGACCAATCACACCTAAATAAAAAAGATTGGTGGTGACTCTATTTGTTAAGTCTAGCTATAGATTTTTGGATCTATATGTTATGACATCAATTCATAATTCATTGTATAAAAATTAAAATAATTTTCATAATTCTTCCATATTGTTGCTACTAGGCAGTCTACACATCCTTAAATAAAAATTAAATAACTATTCCTAAAAAATTCTTGACTTTTATTTGTTTCATTGAAAAGTATATTCAACAAGCTTTCCAACAGTATATAATAATCATAGCAATATTTTATCTCTTAATACAAAATATTATTTTAATCTACCCCTATAAACATCATGATTCATACGAAATAGAAAAACTTCTTTCTAACCCCATCCAATTTCTATTTTCTATTTTTATAGCAATAAAATCACATTATTAAATATTCTCAACACTTCGTTAGACTTTAACTAAAGCCCAAATGATTTGTCCAAACTAATCTTGAAGAGGATAATGAATTTTTTAAAATTTTAAAGTTTCTCGATTACATGTTAAACAATAAGATTTAACAATCAAAATTATTTTTTCAAATTTGAAGAAAGTTATTTACTCACCTTTGAAAGATAATTCTTCGTGTAGATTTCTTTTTGACTTTCACTAAAATCTTTCAATTTATTTGCTCTATACAGGGAACAAAGGAGAAATTGTCTTCTTCTTTTTTAATAAACAATTAACCTTATTAAAAGTTGAATTATTTATTATTAAGTTCTTTGCCTTTCTAACTCTTTCTTAAAAAGTCCCTTCATTTACGAAAATACTTAATAATAGTCTTTTTTTTTTTTTTCTTTAACGGGTATTACGATAAAGGTTGGTGGTGAATGGTGATAATTGCCTCTATTAAAGGAGTGGAGGAAGGATGGTTATACTTAATCATGTTATTGGACTGCATGTGGTTTTGCTGTAACATTTTGTAATTCCCATGAACAAATCAAAATATAGTTGAACTCAGCATTTCAAAATGCTTGGTTTGGTTATAATTTTATTTCAATCATCAAAATAAATCAATAAGCAATTAATGTAGGCAAGACTAACACTATGATGTGACAAAATTATAAATTTAGCTTTAATATAAAGTTGTACTGAACATTACAGCCACGAAATTAGACATATGTGATACTCTTATCAGAAAAACAATTCAGAAAGGACAAATATCCCGGGCATATACAATAAACAACTTCTAACCTACCTAATCGTTCATTGTTGGAGGGCCCTTCTCTCATTAGCGGGTGCAACTGAGTCTTTAATTAACTAGAAGACATTGTTTGGGCCAAGCTGTCATTGTCAATACATATATGAAAGTGAAATGGCTGGACCTAAAGAAACAATCTAAATTCCCTACTGTTTGATCAAAGAAACCTTTTGGTTCCCATTTTTTCTTCATGCATTTTAACAAATTCTTCGATGTTGTAGCATTCAAATGAGGGGAAAATTACATTGAACAATGTAGTAAACAGAAAACAGTCAGCAATTGTTTTTCTGATGAAAATTTTGAGCTACATTTCTTCATCATTGTGGCTTTGCAACAAAGAGACATTACAATTGGACGAGGATCCAAACCTACTTGACCCTGAATCATCATAAGTCATTTCTTCTTCTTTTGCTTTTCCCCATAATACAGCATATAGCCCAGCAGATAAGATCAATGCCCCAACGACACTGCAACATTAAGATTGAATCAGACTTGTCAAATTGCGATTATACAAGGAAATTGCCCAACCCAAGCTTAGGGATGTGCAGCCATGTTTGAGATGATTCTACTTATTATAACTGGTAATAATATTAAAAAAACTGAAACAGACGCCAACAGCCACGTGGTCTAAATGATAGAGTACTGGATTCATAATAAAAATTTTTCAAGTCTTGATAGTTCCAAATATAAAAAGAAAAAAACTGAAATAGATAGTTTTAATTACCTTCCAAGATACAATGCATCACCAAGGAATATGGTACTCATAACTGCTGCAATGACAATTGACAATGGCCTGAATATTGTAACATATACAGCCCCTTTCAAGCGTACACCCCATGTATGTACAGCACTGCTGAAGGATAAAGCAAAAATTCCCTAAACAAGTACGGAAAAGAAAAAGAAAACCTTTAGATATCGGAAATCATCTGATCTAAAATTGTAGTTGATACTAATCCCTTACCGAGTACAGGATAGAAGCAGCTACTATATTAGGTCCTAGTCTCCAGGAACTCTTGTTTGATTCTGCTATTAAGCATAATGGTACAAAAAAAATTACCAAGGACAAGTTGTAGACGAAAATTACAATCATCTCTTTTGGATATATCTTCATAATTTGTGACTGCAGAGCATATTACATAATTTGTCACGCTCCAAATCTAATGATTTAGGATATAACAATACTGCATATTTATGAAATGAATCATATGAGCATGCAAGATAACATATATCATACCAAATCAGAAACAAAATCTCCAAAAGTTCTTAAGAGTACAGTTTTCAAAACTTCAAGAGGGCCATTACCTGTGGTTTTTACTCTAATTCCGACCCATGTCAAATGAGTTAAATAGACTTTTATCAGCTTATGACTTGAGTATTTCGGTATTATTTGTAAAGTTGTTACTGGGATTTTGAATCTTTAGATATAAGTTGTATCTTTTGTATTCTTAGAGACATGAGGTTTTTGTAAGATATAATTTAGAGATTTTGTTTTTTGGTTCAATAAAATATATATAGCCTTATATACTTATGGGACTCCTTTCCGAGTATGTGTCGTTGTTACCTCTAAATCCTAGCTTTTGGAGCGTGACACAGGTATTAAATAAAGAAATACACATAATTGAACAGTTTTCTAGAGGATACAGGGGCTGGAAACTAGTTTTACCTGAATAATATACCAGAATGAAGAAAACAGATATCCCATGGCAAGTAGGAGCCCACCAATCACCCAATTTGATTGTGGTGATCCCAGAGGCTGTTGAATTAATACAGATGATGAGTCCCAATGTGGAGAAGAAAGAACGCTGGGACCCTTGTAAAGAACAACCACAGATGCACCAGATATTGATGCTATGGTGCCAATGATTTTAGCTTGAGTGCTTGAGCTTCTCAATTCTACCTTTTCCATCCTGGTCATGGCATTGGCATTCAAAGATCAGAGAAAAGAATTACTGGACTGAGGATACTACCTTAAACACGAAACAACAGAAATTGTTGCATAAATTTGTCCACTTCTTATATGCTTGCCAAATGGTCATCCATTCCCCTTCCGAATTTTAAAAAAAAATTCTGATTTTAGTGTTATCATTGATGGGAATATATATATATATATATATATATTGTATTTAAAATTATTAAGATTTGAATCCTGTTACTGAAATTAAAAGAAAAGCATTTTACACAAACTTTCTTTTCATTGTGTATTTTCTATACTTTTTTTTAATATAAAGGAGGCGTAATCTAGAGAAAAAGAAATGAGTCGTCGTATTGGATTCAATTCTATGTGTGTTAGTTATCACCTTTTAAGGACGACGGCATGAATCAACTGTACTAAGTTTTGGGTTCTTATTTTCCCGTACTTTATTTTACTGAAATTCATCATGTACCCTTGATGAAAAAATTAGGAAAGGCATAAGTAATCATCAGAGACATTTTAGTCAACGACAGATCATGAGTATTGTTTCACCATTATGAATTAGTCAATCAAGTATGAAGGAAGAAACCTGAAGAAGACAGCAAGTATGAAGGTAAAAGCTGGTATAAGGTTGCTGATGGCAGAGGAAAGAGTTGGGGTGCCTAGCTCCAAACCTTTATATACACATAATTGACTTGAAAACCTGTCTCCAAAACATAAACACGTCTTGGTATATTATTTTTTGTTTCTTTGATACTACATGAAAAGAGTGAATCCAATTTAGAAACCAAAAATTACAGCTTGATGTTCAGTATTGTTCCATTTCCATACCCAACAAGACCAAGAAGGCAAAGTCTAGAGATGAGAGAGAACTTAAATGGAGGAAACCCTGATTTGCTGCATACACAAAATAAACAAAAAAAAAAAGATTTTAGAGCAAAATATATTTGCATCTGATTTCAGATGATCATCAGAAGAAGGAAAAGGAAGACCTGATTAAGAAGAAGGTTACAGGGAGGAGAACAATGGTGGCTAAAGCGTTACAGTAGGCAAGGAAGGTGTAGTAGCTCAACCCCTTTGAAGAAGCAGCTTTGAATAGAATGTTAATGACAACGTTGGAGCACTCTACTGCAACCATGGCGGTGCATGGTAGGACATCGTTATACCAATACCTTCTTCCCATATCACTTTACCTGTAATAAAGTCTCCCAGCTCTCCTGTCTTCTTGGCTATAAAAAATATGGAGAATGGAGAAGATAAAGGCCTCTTCCTGTTTCTTCTTTACGGCATCAAATCTTTGAATGACATCATCATTTTGCTTTTTTCTTTTTAATAAAAAGGTTGGTGGTGATATTATTGCCGGTTGCATTGTCCAACCAATTTTAAATGCCACTAGCACCGAACCCGCGCGGCAAAGCGCACTCATAAATTATTAATAATTAAAAAATATATATCATTATCATTTCAATATTTACTTATTCTAAAGCAATACTATAGGATAAAATGTATCTAATAAAAACACACCTTTAAAACACAGATTGCAAATCTGTCTCTGTTGACCAATTTATTTGTTGATATAAAAGTTAGAAATAAACTTCCTATACACCACATCTAAGCCAGCATATTAAATCTATCATTTTCCTTCATGTCCATTTCAAAGCAACTACATATTGGAAGAAAAAAAATGGAAAGCAATTGAAAGATTACCTGACCAAAAGTCTTTTTTTTTTTTTTGGAACTTCTCCAAAAACAAATATAATATGTTTGTAATCTAATTAGTCTACAAAAAATAATCATGTGTCTTTTTCTCATTTAAAAAAAATTTGTTAAAAATTTAATATTGACCAAAAACTTTTTAAAGCATGTGTTTTTATCCCTTTTAACTATGCTAATAAGTAAAATGAATAATTTAAAGTATGTAACATTATGCATAATTCGTTAATGACATCCGTCAAATTCCTTACCTAAATGAAAATAAAAAATTGTTGTATGACATGAGTGTGCAATCAAAATGTCAATTAAAGCATATGTAGACAAAACTTCTAAATTTATAAATACTCATAATCATAACTTTAACATCATAGAAGGAACTATATGATCGTCTGACAGCAATGTCAAATATTTATAATTACATCAAGAAGCTTCCATGTAGAAAAGAATAATATGCCTTATGCTACTTGAATATATAAAAGAGCCAAGTTGTCATAGTTGATCAATGAAAACGACCCATGCTAAAAACAGATGGGAACTCTAGTAAACATGTTGTATAAGAAAATAATAAAGTTTAAATTTAGAATATGCATGTAAATTCAGAATCTCTTGCTTTTACTTAAGGTCCCTTTTAACTTCTTAATATGTAAGTTCCAAATAAAATTTTATTTTCAAACTTAAACTAACATTAAACTTACACTGTTTGAGACATCAATACATATGTGATATCTCATAATAAATTTCCTTCTATTACTTTATATGTATGGCTATATACAGGCATATGCACGTGTCACGGACCTAAGGGGGAGTCTTGAATCTCACATCGAACATAATAAGAGGGTCACTTGGGTATAAAAGGGTTCATACCACTTCTGCCTTGTGAGACGCCTTTGTATGACAAAACGTGAGGTCAGAGGTCAGGGGGGTCAAAGCGGACAATACCTCACAAGGGTGTGAACCGTGGCGATCAGGCTAATCTGGGACGCCAGAAGGGTGAATGCCCGGGTCCCGGAGCCGTGCGGATTCGGAGCTTAAGTCTCGACCTATGACAAGTGGTATCAGAGCCAACCCTAAACCGTTCGATCTACGCCAAGCGCCTCGAGGGAGGTAGGCAGGGTGGCCAGCCTCCATGACGTGGGCGTCACGAGGTTGGGTGCAGGAGAATGTCACGGACTTAAGGGAGAGTCCTGAATCCCACATTGAACATAATAGGAGGGTCACTGGGGTATAAAAGGGTTCACACCACCTCTGCCTTGTGAAGCGCCTTTTGTAGAACAAAACCATGAGGTCAGGGGGACCAGAGCAGACAATACCTCACAAGGGTGTGAACCGTGACGGTTAGGCTGATCTGGGACGCTAGAAGGGTGAATGTCCGAGTCCCGAAACCGTGCGAGTTTAGAGCTTAAGTCTCGACCTATGACACACGTACTCGTATACTTGTTAAGAGTTTTTACTCTTTTTGCACTTACATAACTGATGCTTCTAATATTATTAACCCATTATTACTAAATGGTTCAAAGCATCTGACATCCTCAACCAACATGTATCAAAATCAAAAAAATAGTTCAAAACATGAAAAGAATTTCAAAATTAATATACAATATGCAAATTGAAACCTTTACCAGAGAAATGAACTAACCTCTTTAGCTTTTGTAACATAAGGATTTGCTTTTAGGACTTAAATAAGTAAATCCTTACGACAAAAGTTAAGTTTATGAATTATCTTTTTTTTTATGGAATATTATGAATTATTTATTTTAAATATGTAAACTATACAATAAAAGTTGTAAGTTTTTTGACGCTAAAGGAATTGGAATTCAATTTTTTATTCCCTTTCTTTTTTTCTTTTGGTTTTTTTCTCTTTTTTTAGTTTAGTGGGTCCCTTCAGCATATTTACATTGGAATTAATTTGCATGTGGACACCAAATCTTTATGAGTTTATTTTTATGTAAGAATAAAAATTTTAATATCTAAAATCCATAAATTTCATTCTTCATTACTTGTTATAATAAAAACTGACTAAACCAAATCTTTAACATTAACTTGTTATATCATTTTGACACCAAAAATATAAAAATAAGCAAACATTTTTAACCAAATCTTTGTTCTCACAAAAGTACTCATGATGCAAAACTATATCAAACCATTAGTTGCAATCTAGCAAGGAAAGTTAAGGCATGAAGCTTTAGTTTAGACCATTTGTAATCAAATCGAATGGTTCAATCCTAAATCTCCCGTATGTCAGTAAAGCGAAAATATCTAGCTATAAAAAATATAATACTAAAAACATAAAGGTCAAAGTAAAAAATAATATCAAACATATGCATCTCATTTGAGCAAAACAAAAAATTAAATTAAATTAAATACCAAAGTATTAAGTTTTTGGACTTCAGATATTCACAGAGAAAGATAGAGCGATCACGTTTCACTTTTAACAATAATTATAGCATAAAAATTTTTCTAGTCTTCCAGATGAGATTGACACTAACCAGAAGGAAGAAATAAAGGTTTCATAAATATAAATAGAGTTTTATAGCTAGCATTGTGAAACGATTCAAAGTTTTAGTGTCATAACGTCTAGATTCGGGGATCTATCGTTAGACATTAACTTAAAAAGTCGCCACTAATCTTTTTTATCTAGGTGCGATTGATTACCTAATGAATGTATCTTTTTAAGGAACACCTAAGCTTAAGGGTCCCTAAAAGAATAGATTTAGGTCTACTAACCAGAACAAGGTTCGAGAGTTCGGTTACATGTGAGGAAGGTTATAGCACCCTCACAACGCCCATCAAAAGATGGTACCAACTTAATTTTATGTTATCTAATAAGCCTTAAAAATTTACAAGTAATTAACTATTGAAAATTATTCTCAATTGACTCTAATACTTTTAGCAGAAAATTGAAAAAATTTCCTCACCTCAAGAGTATACAAGAAAACTACTATTTCACTTGCAGAGGCTCCATCATCGAATTATTTAACATTAAAGAAAATTCAAGAGAAAAAATAAAAAAATAAAAAAAATGATTTAGCTTTAGATATAAATCCTTTTCTCTTCAAAAATTCATTGTTTTTGTACAAGAAAAATTAATACTTTCAACTTTTTCTCAAAATATTTTTTTAAAACTTTAATTTCAAGAAAAATTGATACTTTCAACTTTTCCTAAAAAAAAACCTTTTTTAAAAAATTATTTTCAAAGAAAATTAATATTTTCAACTTTTTCTGGAAAATATTTTTTAGAAAACTTATCTTCAAGGAAAATTGATACTTTCAACTTTTTCTCAAAATTTTTTTAGAAAACTTATTTTCAAAGAAAATTGATACTTTCAACTTTTCCTCAAAAATATTTTTTTGAAGACTTTATTCAAAGAAAATCAAAAAAAATAAAAATAAAAATAGAATAAAAGAAAATAAAATAAAATAAGAAATACTAAATAATTCTAATCTAATCAAAAAAATAACAATAATAATAATAATAAATAAATAAGATAAATGAAAAACAAAACCTTTGAAACGGCTTGGCTTATCGGCTCAGCTCGACTCAAACCCAAGTGAAGAAACGGATCGTTGGATCAGGTACATTACGGATTGGGTCACCCGAATGGGAATGCACGGATCATGGGGTTTTCTTAAAAGCAAAACGACGTCGTTTCAACAAGGTATAAAAGGCTTTAATCTCTATTTTTCAGCAGACTGCCCCTTCTCTCTCTCTCTCTCTTCCCTTCTTTTCCACCTTTCTCTCTCTACTCGAACGAAGAACTCCGATTAAATCTCGTCGGATTTTGAAAAATATCATCAAAATCTGGGTTTTTCGTCGGAAGTTCATCGAAAAGTTGATCGATTTCTGAAAATAGTTATCGAAAACTGGGTAGCTGGTCGAAAAATTCAACCGATGCCGAAAAAGTCACCAAAAAATTCAAACTTTACCAAAAAATTCAATCGAAATCTGAAAATTTTTTTAAAATTTTCAGAAAAAAATCGCCTAAAATTATTCAAAATTTAAAAAAAATTCTTGAAATTATTTTTGACCTTTCTAAACACCTTTTTTCTTCTCATCTGCGCTCCCTCTCTCCTAGTGTTTATTTTCTCTATCAGTGTCCTTCATATTCTTTCCAGCACCTATTTATAGGGATTGATCAGAAGAGTTTCTGATCAATCCTAATTTCCTCTAACATTTGGATTCAATCTTTGAATCCAATCCCAACTCTGCCAGCCTCAAATTCACGCCAAAATTTTAGTTGCTCCTAATCCCAATTTCAATCGGGTAAGCAGAAAAAGAAAAAAAAAAGAAAAAAATAAAATAAAGATAATATATTAATAGATAAAAATATTAATAGATAAATAATAATAAAGTATATATATTAACAGATAAATAATAATAATATATATTAATAAATAGTAATAATAAATAAATAAATAATAAATAAAATAAATAAAAATACAAAATACAAAATACAAAATAAAATAAAATACAATGAAATAGGCTTACCCCATTTGGACCAGGCCTA